ACGTCGACGTTGCGGTGTTTTTTTGACAGGTACGACGAGCGGTCCCGCGTAGGGTTGGCCAGGCGTCCGCGCGCGATGTGCGCCGCGTCCCATTATTGCTACACTTTTCGCAGCGTCGACGACAAGAAAGTCCATGTTGACAAGAAAAACGTTGATGTTGTATTGTTTTTGATGGGTTGGACGTGACGACCCGCTTGGGGTTACCCATGGTCAATCCGCCTTATTCCTGCTACACTTTTCGCAACGCGACGACACGTTGGTGGCGAGAAACAAATTGACTTTGAATGGTTTTTTGACGAATTCTTTACGCTTCGCGTATCCCCACCAGCCCATCTCAAAACAGCAACTATTGCGAAGCATGCCGACAGTCGTGTTTTTCAGGCGTGTTTCCGCCTGCCCCCGCATATCTCCTCTGTTCCTCCTTCCTCCCGCCTCCTTGTACATCCTCTTTGTGGTGGGAGCGGGAGAAGGACGAGGCGGAGGAGGAGGGAGAGAAAGCGCTCCTCGTGGTTTGAGTCGTTTGGGGTTTCTTGTCCTGGTGTGAGTCGTTCGGGCCCTTCTTCCTGGTGTGAGTCGTTCGGGCTCTTCGTGATGTGAGTCGTTCGGGCTCTTCGTCCTGGTGTGAGTCGTTCGGGCTTCTCGTGGTGTGAGTTGTTCGGGCCCTTCGTCCTGGTGTGAGTCGTTCGGGCCCGTCCTCCTGGTGTGATTCGTTCGGGCTCCTCGTGGTGTGAGTCGTTCGGGGCCCTCGTCGTGGTGTGAGTCGTTCGGGCTCCTCGTGGTGTGAGTCGTTCGGGCGCCTCGTCCTGGTGTGAGTCGTTCGGGCCCCTCCTTCTGGTGTGAGTCGTTCGGGCTCTTCGTGGTGTGAGTCGTTCGGGCCCCTCGTCCTGGTGTGAGTCGTTCGGGCTCCTCGTGGCGTGAGGCGTTCGGGCACCTCGTCCTGGTGCAAGTCGTTCGGGCCCCTCGTAGTAGGAGTAGTAGTAGTAGTAGTAGTAGTAGTAGTGGTAGTAGTAGTAGTAGTAGTAGTAGTAGTAGTAGTAGTAGTAGTAGTAGTAGTAGTAGTAGTAGTAGTAGTAGTAGTAGTAGTAGTAGTAGTAGTAGTAGTAGTAGTAGTAGTAGTAGTAGTAGTAGTAGTAGTAGTAGTAGTAGTAGTAGTATTAGTAGCAGTAGTAGTAGTAGTAGTAGTAGTAGTAGTAGTAGTAGTAGTAGTAGTAGTAGTAGTAGTAGTAGTAGTAGTAGTAGTAGTAGTAGTAGTAGTAGTATAGTAACTAGTAGTAGTAGTAGTAGTAGTAGTAGTAGTAGTAGTAGTAGTAGTAGTAGTACTAGTAGTAGTAGTAATACTAGTAGTAGTAGTAGTAGTAGTAGTAGTAGTAGTAGTAGTAGTAGTAGTAGTAGTAGGTAGTAGTAGTAGTAGTAGTAACAGTAGTAGTTAGTAAGTAGTTAGTAGTATAGTAAGTAGTAGTAGTATTGGTAGTAGATGTAGTAGTAGTATAGTAGTAGTAGTAGTAGTAGTAGTAGTAGTAGTAGTATTAGTAGTAGTAATCCGTAGTCGTAGTCGAGTCGTAGTCCCGTAGTCGTAGTCGTAGTCGTAGTCGTAGTCGTGTCGTATAGTAGTAGTAGTAGTAGTAAGTAGTAGTATAGTAGTAGTAGTAGTAGTAAGTAGTAAGTATTTAGTAATAAGTAAGTAGTAGTCGTAGTAGGCGTAGTAATCATAGTAGTCGTAGTAGTAGTAGTAGTCGTAGTAGTAGTAGTAGTAGTAGTAGTAGTAGTAGTAGTAGCAGCAGCAGCAGTAGTAGTAGTAGTAGTAGTAGTAGTAGTGGTAGTACTAATACTAGTACTAGTACTAGTACTAGTAGTAGCAATACTAGTAGTAGGTGTAGTAGTAGTAGTAGTAGTAGTAGTAGTAAACTATTAGTAGTAGTATTAGTAAGTAAGTAAGTGTAGTAGTAGTTAAATTAGTAGTACTAGTAGTCGTACTATTACTAGAAGTAGTAGTAGCATGTAGTAGTAGTAGTTTGTAGTATTAAGTAGTAGTAGTAGTAGTAGTAGTAGTAGTAGTTTAGTATATAGTAGTAGTAGTAGTAGTAGTAAGTAGATGTAAGTAAGTACAAGTAGTAGTAGGAAGTAGTAGTAGTAGTAGTAGTAGTAGTAGTAGTAGTAGTAGTAGTAGTAGTAGTAGTAGTAGTAGTAGTAGTAGTAGTAGTAGTAGTATAGTAGTAGTAGTAGTAGTAGTAGTAGTAGTAGTAGTAGTAGTAGTAGTAGTAGTAGTAGTAGTAGTAGTAGTAGTAGTAGTAGTAGTAGTAGTAGTAGTAGTAGTAGTAGTAGTAGTAGTAGTAGTAGTAGTAGTAGTAGTAGTAGTAGTAGTAGATGTCTTTTGGGAGCCTCTTGGAGGCCTTTTGGGGCGTCTTGGGGGCCTCTTGGCGGCCCCAGGGGCTTCTAGGAGCGTCTTGGGTGCCTTGGGGGAGCCTCTTCGGGCCTCTTGGGAGCCTCTTGGAGGCCGTTTGGGGCGTCTTGGGGGCCTCTTGGCGGCCCCAGGGGCTTCCAGGAGCGTCTTGGGTGCCTCGGGGGAGCCTCTGGGGCCTCTTGGGGGCCTCTTGGGGGCATTTTGGGGGCCTCTTGGAGGCCTCTTGGGGCCTCTTGGGGCTCTTTGGGAGGGGTCTGGGAGGAATCTTGGGGCCATCTGTCGGGCGATCGATCACAGACGGGGCGAGCACTTTTCTGCCCCCCCCCGTCGGGGCCAGAATCCTCGTGAGGGGTGTCGAATTTTAGCCCTCCCAGGAGTCGAAAAAGACCCCTCCAACGACCCGCGAAACGCCCTCTCCAGGCCCAGGGGGAGGGGGTAGGGGGAGGGGTAAACCCCTCCCCGAAGGGGAAGAAGGGGGGTTGGGAACAGAGAGAGCTCGCTAAACCACTCACGCCCAAAGGGCTGGTGGGATTGGACGGCGGAGTTGCTATCGGCCGGCTAGGTGGGGATGTGGGGGTGTTTAATCATAGGAAGTAAGGATGGGGTTCGGTGGGGTGGGGTGGTGTGTGGAGTGGTGTGGTGCGGTGCAATGTGGTGTGGTGTGGTGTGGTGTGGCGTGGTGTGGTGTGGTGTGGTTTGGTGTGTGTATGTGTGTACGTGAGTTAGCGAGGACTCCAAACATTGTTTTTTCGCCATCTACGCGGCGCAACCCAAGTGGTGCAAACAATGTGGCGCAATCAAGATGGGGCAATCCACGTGGTGCACTTTATGTGGCGCAGAGCAACGCAAATCAGCCCGAAACCATGCAACGCAATGCTAAGCACCTCAAAGTAACGCAGAGCAGCGCTACGCAGCACAACGGAGTGCAAACTATTGCAGAGCAGTGTAAACCAATGGAGAGCGACGCGACACAGTGAAATGCAATGCAAAGCAGTGCGGCCACAGCGCGTGACGATTGCAATCTGGTGCCCAGACGACGGGCGGCGACGAGGCGGCCACCTGGCGGCCAGAGCGACCCGCAGGCCCGGGCGACTGGCGGAGACGAGGCGGCGACGGCGGCCACATGGCGGCCAGAGCGGCCCTCAGGCCCAGGCGACGGGCGGCGACCGCGCAGCAACGGCGGCCACGTGGTGGCCATAGCGGCCCGCAGGCCCAGTTCCGTAGAAAAGAAGCAGGACCTACAAGTGCAAGCACTGGTTGGGGAACATTGCATATATATATATATATATATATATATACAAGGATGTACAGATACTTATACCGCTACGTAGACATTCACACATACATGCAAATGTGTATTTACTGGCGCATATAGTGTACATATACATATACCGCGACAAATATCTAAACGTATGCACATATACAAACACACACACACATCAACATATACATATACATACACATATACATAAGCATAAGCATAAACATATACATATACACATACATGTGTGAACATGAACACACGTTGCTGTATGTGTCTATTTCGCGGCAAGGTGGTCCAACACAGCGACGATACTAGCGGGATGTGCGAAGTTGATTGATTATTACCGCCCGTGTACCGATGCGGGGTCAACCAGCAAGCGGATGCAGAATCCACATGCGCACACACACACATTCACGCAATCACACACGCACACACACACACACAAACACACGCGGCGCACACACACACACACACAGACACACAGACACACACACACACACACACACGCGCACACACGCACGCACGCACACACACACACAATCACACACACACACACACACACGCGCACGCACACACACACACACACACACACACACACACACACACGCACGCACGCACGCACGCGCGCACGCACGCACGCACGCACGCACGCACACACACACACACACATACACACACAAAACACACACACACACACAAACGCAAACACATTGTGGATTTCGGCACATCCCGCCACCGTGCGTGGGTTGTGGGCCAGAAGCCTCTTGGATGCCAATTGGCTGCTGGGGCCTCCTAGTATGCATCTCGGAGGTCTCTCAATGAGCCTCTGGGGGGCCCTTGTTGGCATCTCCGGGCCTCTTGCGCGTTCCTGGGTGGCTGGCTTTTCGAAGCATTCTGGGGGGTTATGCGGGCTATGTTGGAGGAAACGGCGCCCAAGGCCGCGTCGCGTTCCCCCCCTTGGGCCCCCCTCTGGAGCGCATGCAGAAGGGAAGGACTGGGCGGACAGCGCGGCCAACTGGCGACGCCAACCCCCATTCTCCTCCCCAGCGGGTGTAAGTGTAGCTGCTTGAGGGGAGGCACGTGGCCTGCAACCGAGCACGTACCTTCCTGCCTCCCTTTCGATCCTCCTCCCATTGCTCGTCCTCTTACTGTATTCCTCCCCGTGCCTCCCTTCACTTCCTCCTCCTCCTCATCCTCCTCCTCCTCCTCCATCTCCTCTACCTCATCCCCTTCCTGCTACTCATCCTCCTCGCTCGAGTTCCTCTCGTTCTTCTCCCCATCCTTGATTGGTCAGTCATGCTCCTCCTCCTCCTTCTCCCCCTCCTCCTCCTCCACCAAGAGCTGCGTCTCGTCGAACTGAGCACCCCGTTAGTATGATTGCGTTCTCTGTCTCTCTCTGTGTCTTTTTTTTTTGTTTCTCTCTCTCTCTCTCTCGTTCTCTCTCTCTCTCTCTCTCGCGTTCCCTGGCTCGGAGGAGGAGAGAAGGGGAGGCCTTCATCCCCAACTTCCGGGCGGGAAGAGAGTCGCACACGCATGGGGGCCCCAGAGCACCGAACACACGGCGAGTGGCAACGCGCGTGGGCAGTCCGGGCGCGGCCGCACGACGGCGCCATGCCGTGTGCCGGCGCCCCGTCTCTGGAGAGTCCTGCCGACGCTGCAAGCAGGACCCACATCTACACCCTAGGCGATGCTTAAGAAAACCTAAGTTTTCGTCCAGAGTCTCGATTATTCTTAAATTTCCTCTGAAAACCCAAGATTTTGATAGAAGTTCTGGATTTTATTTAATTTCTGAGACTATGAATTTCTTAACCCATGATCTCTTAAGCAGTTCGCAGGGTGTACACACACACACACCCTCAACGAGACGACGATCTCCGACAGGGATCGAATACGCGAGGCGTTCCGGAGGGGCCTCGCGCTCGAGGCCCGAAGGAGTTGCCATCTCTTCCTCGGCGGAGGGCGGCGGAAGTAAGAGATCAGCCTCGGCGGCTCGAGGACGCAGCTCGCACGGGCGGGCGTGGGGTCGCAAGCCTCCTCCTCCTCCTCCTCCTCCTCCTCCTCCTCCTCCTCCTCCTCCATTTCCCCCCAGCCATGGCGTTGCCAGCTGCTGCCTGAGGGAACTGGCCTGGTGAGCGCTGCTCGGCTGCCCGACCGAGCTGGACCGCACCGCCCTGGTCGTCAGATCCAGAACGTTTGCGGGGGCCAGGGTGTACGGGGAACAAACGAGCCCACCGACGTGCACCGAGGCTGGTGACTTTGACGGGAGCCTGTTGGCATAGAGGTCAAAATTGGGCGCGCTCATCGATAGCCGCACTGGCCACTAATGGTGTTTGTCCCGAACCTTGTGCCGAACCCGAACCCTCGGCCTAACTGGGCCTGGGACATCAGAGAAGAATAAAGCGAATCAGATTCTCAATATCTGGAGCTACGACACGGAATCCCTGGTGGTTGTCGACAGACTAGGAGAGCGTCTCAGATTTGCGCACGATCGAGGGGTAGTTGTGTTGAGCATCGCCTGGCAATGCGAAGGATTTCATCTACTACCGACCCCGGGACTTCCACGAGAGCCAGGGATGGGTGCCCCATAGCGGGCAACAACAAATTCTTCGGGAAGGACGAACTGCGATGTGTTCACGAAAGGGCCCCAAGGCGTCGTCAGGGCGTTCGTCTTCGTCGAGTGGGCCCTCGTCCCAGAGACCTCTACGCCCTGGGTGTTCCCCCGCCAAACACGGGTGTCGCAGGCTTTCGGAGACACCATTGCCGTACCAACCAGAAAGGCAACAAGTTCCTCGCGGCACTCCATAACCAGGGCCTAGCTGCGCTCAACACCTTTGGGAAGGCATCCAGATTCAAGTCCACGTGGGTTCACACTGACGGACAGAGCTGGTCCATTATAGACTACATATATGTGCGGTTTCAGAGAGGGTGCGGCCACAGAGGACGACCATTGCGTGACCTCCCCGTGCGCTTTGGTGGGCTTCGAGGCCATAGGTCTGTGGAGGCCCAGCTATACGCAGGCCTGCGCTACAACTTCCGACGTCCAGAGGCCGACACCAAGTGGAACCGCGACCTCATCATGCAGGACTTGAAGGAGCTGCAGAGGGCCAACCGCGAGGAGGGCGAGCACCCTATCCCGCGCAGAGTCTCTCGGCTGCGCGACGCGGTTGACCTTCGCCGCCGGGAGCGACGACTGCACGGATATTGGCCCCAGGTATGCGGATCTGGCAAGGACTACCATGACACCTCGGCGTACTTCAACGCGCGGCAGGGAGCGGCGTCGGATGCAACGGTGTAGATCTGGGCCACGAAGCCGACCGAGAGCGAGACGCCAGGTTTCCCCGAGGATACGCTGAAGACCACCGTTCAGAAGCAGATGTGCCAACGCATGCTCGCCAAAGCGATCATGGGGAGCTGGCTTCACAAGTCCTTGCGCCATCAGTACCTGAAGGCGGCCGAGCTCGCGAAGAAGGCAGTCCGCGCGTGCCGCCGTCAGCAGACGGCGGAGCTAGTGGACCAAGCCGAACGCGCCGACCAACATCATCATGACATCAGGAAGAGCTACGCCATCATCCGCCGCCTCGCGCCGCAGCCGACGGCACCGTCTATGACGGTGCACAACCCTGAGACACGCATGGTATGCTTCGACCATGAGGAGGACATGACTGTACGTGCCAAGGCCTTGTGCTCCATCATCCAGGCTGAGAATATCAAGCTGAGTCCCGTTTCGGCCCGGGTACCGGTGGATGGAGCCCAGAATGACAACGATGACCCCGTTGGAGGACATCACCGTTGCGAACGCCATCAGGGCAGTTATGAATGCCCAACTACAAGGCTGCACCAGTTTTGGATTTGAGCGATCCAGAGAGTGCGTTGACACCGACTCCGAGACTACATTATGATGGAGCAGTGGCAGAGATCTGGAAGTTTTGCCTCGACCGTGAGGCGGAGCCCCTCACGCAAGTTTTCCAAGTGCGCTACCGGGCTAAGTAGTTGGCCCAGAGGTTCAAAAACGGCGAGACGGCGTCATTTCGCATGCCCGAGGGGGGCGGGCGGCATGCCGGGGATTTCTACCGCGCGATTAATTTAACCAACCACATTGGCAAATCTTTCATCAATATTGCATGTGTGGATGAGCTTCGCAAGTGCGCGGGTCGCCTATCTGTTGCCCTGTTCGGCGCATTGCCGCACCGATCCACCCGCGGCGCAGCGGCGGTCGTGGGTGAGATCATCCGCAGGTTCGAGGCGCGCAGGAGCCGCGCCAACCACCCGGCCATCATATTGGTGGCTGCCCCTGCTGTTCTTGCAAAAGGATTCGACCTCTTGCCCAGGGACAAGGCTTGGGAGTCTGCGGAACAACTCGCGGCGCCCAGGGGGGCTCGGTCGACGCCCGAGGCCCTGCGCGAGGGCGCGCGCAACGTCTCGAGGGGCGCCAGAACGAATGAACCGTGCAAAACCCTCTGGCGGGCCGCGGGGCCCGCCATGGGAAGCGCCGAGGGGCCGTCGCTCTTCGTCGCCATCTACGATTCCATGACCCAGGAGATCGCGAAACAGAAGGAGGCCCAGGGCTTCGACGGGGGTCGAAATGTTCTCGGATCCCGCCTTGGACAAGATCCGGGCCAGGGACATCTTAGAGGTGGGAGAGACGCGCGAGCAAGACGCGTCGCAGGTTAAGTTCGTCGACGACCCCATAGGTCTGGCTGCGTCTGAGAACTCTGAGCGGGCTTCGGACCTCCAGTTTCTGTTTCAAGGGATCGAGGCCTGGGGCGCGACAATGAACGCCCCGGAGATTGAGCCCCCGTTTTTTTCTTCGGGCAAGGGGTGCAATAAAATCTGCGAGGGCATCGCGACGCAAAAAAAAACGGCGGTTAGGACGAAGGATTCCGAGGGCCATTCCGCGCCCGCCCACGCCCTGGAATCCGTCGAGCATTTGAGGGTCAGGATCAGGGGTGGCAGTTCGACGGGCGAAGAGCATCAAGAGTGCAAGCGCAACCCACGGCCGACTCTCTCAACGTGTACTCAGGGGGCACTTCTGCTACCACCTCAAAACTCGACTTCGGAGTTCATAGGTTAGGTCGATCGCCCTCTACGCCGTGGAAGTGGCGGCTCTCGCGCAGTCCGAGTTGCAGAGACTGGGACGCTGGCAGGCCAAAAAACTGAGGCGCATACTCCGTTCCCCTGCTCATCTCCGACATGTCCCCAACGAGGCGATCCGTCGCAAGGCGAACGTGCATTCGGCGTCGGCGACGATGCTATGCAGACGCCAGGTGATGGCGGAGAGTGAGATACCCTGGGCCCGCCCCCCCCCCCCCCCCCAAGAACCCGAATACGATCCAACCCACGCGGTGAAAGCGGCGACTGTTGGCCGCCTCAGCTTCGAGAGGAGGGTGGAGCCCAGGAAGCCCGCGGGAAGAGTTGCCCCCCTGGACCAGGACCTCAAGGCGATGTGGTCATCGCTCTCTGCTTCTTCACGTGGTGGAGCCCCTGGACCCGACCCAGAAGTTTCGGGGCCGTGGCTCGGTTGGCTATGGGGCCTTACTCAGGTTGGTGTTCGCGCTGTCCTTCCGCTTCGTGCTTCGAGTGGCCCTGAGCCTGCGGGGGGAGAGCCCCACGAGGCAGGCGCGCGGAATCGAGGCCAACAGGTGCGCCCTCCCGGACGGAGTCCAGCTCGGATAACAAAGCACGCCCGCATTGCCAGCAGACCATCACCAGGAAAGACACGCTACGTCGCAATTTCGGCGTCCCGCGCTGCCTTGTCCTGAAGGCTCCCAGGGCTCAAGCTGCCCAATCTGCTGCCCGACCGCCCGATCCGAGCGGCGAAGCCCGCGGGGGCGTTCACGCCGCTGGCAGAGGTGGCGGCCAAGAAACGCAACTCGGAGCAGGGAGGGGCAGGAGGAGCCCGACGAGAAGGAGGAGCCACTAGAGACGGGATCCGACCGCCAGCTGGCCCTGGCGATGGCCAAACTCGTGCTGCAGCACGAAGGCGACCTGCGCAATCTGCGGCGAGACGTGAACCTCGTGCTCACCTTGCGCGCGGACACCAAGCTCCAGCTGGCTCTCGAGGAAGGGGTCGACAAGTACAACAAGGTAGGGGAAGAGGAGAGGGACAAGGAGAGGGACGAGTTCAAGGGCCACCCGTGGGGCACGCGCCCAGACGCACTGATGAGGATGCTGATCTACAGAATGTCGGAGGCCCTGCAGGCCAACGAGAGCGAGGTGACTGCAGCCATCGCGCGAGGTCAAAATCCAGACGCCACCAGAAAAGCGGTGCAGGCCATCATGGAGTGGAGCGGCAAGGTTCAGGATTGCTCGACGATCTTCCATGCGACCAGGTGTTTCATGAACGCGACAGAGGATGCGACGGGGAAGGAGGTGAAGAAGTGGATCTTCGCGGCCTACCACCACAGGGAGCTCCACTTGGCTTTCGAACAGCTGCGCGACAACGGAGGCGCTCTAGCCGCGGGGCTCTTGCTGGAGCGCGACTCTGCCCCGAGGAGCCAGACCGCGAAGAGGGTGGAGAGGCTGGCGTTCCACGGGGGGAAGAAGGACCCCAAGGGCAACGCGACGGGCTCCAAGCGCCAGAAGAAATGAGGGCCTTAGGGAGGCCAAGTAGCTCGCACCAGACACTTTTGATTCAGTTGTTCGCTCATCTCGAGGGGGTGACACTATACGCTTTTGCGGGGGTTTTGTGGGTTCCGTGTGTGGTCGTTGGCCCTCCTGGGCTGGAGGGGTTTGTGGGGCCTTCCTCGCAGCGCCATCCCTTCAGAGGATGGGGTGCGCGGGGTTGGGATCGAGGTGTTTCCTTGGGTTCGCCTCTGGCTTCGGTCCTGCCTCATGCATTTCAGGGTTCCGATCGGACATGTTCGATCGCGCCGACGCTTGCTGAGGTTCTGGCTTCGGTAGACAGCGTTATGAGCCCCACACTCGGCTTCCAGAGCTGTGGGCGCGAGGGTGCAGGGGCTTGTGTGTGTGTGTGTGGAAGTAAAAGATGCGTCCCCAAGAAATGAAAACGTTGTGGGTAAAATGTACGTATTTGAGGTTCGGGGTTTGCGAACTCCTCCACGCAGGCGAGGCCGAGGAGGAAAGGCGCTCTTGGCGCGCGGGTCGACCATCGCACGGGGGGGCTGCTGCGTGGACGGCCCCGCCGCTGGCTGAGCAAGGCCAGAGAAGGAGGTGGGGGAGGAGGAAGGGCAGGTACCCGCGGGGGTGGCATAGTTCTGCGCTGCTCGCCTCCACACGTCCACTGGGGCGGCGGTGTTGCCAGACAGGTTCAGAGCAGGATGCACTCGTGCATCCAGTGCGTGCATGTAGACCTCCTCAGGCCCACACAGATCGGGGACGGCCGCGTACGGGGCGTTCGGGGGCAGGGCCGTTTGGACCTTGGCGTTCCGCAGCCGACGGTTTAGAACAGCGCCGCGCACGGGGTGGCTGTTTCTTGGAGAGGCCTTACGGCCAGAGCCGCCGACCCTGAACGACGACGAACGACGACGACGACGACGATAACGACGATAACGACGATAACGACGATAACGACGATAACGACGATAACGACGATAACGACGATAACGACGATAACGACGATAACGACGATAACGACGATAACGACGACAACGACGACAACGACGACAACGACGACGACGACGACGACGACGACGACGGGCCGGCGCCGCGCATGGGATGGCCTCTTACTCGCGCGTGCGACTTCCCCGGATGGGGGCAGCCGGCGCTCCGCATCAGCCGCTGCTCCACCGGCTTTCGGCCCGCTCGGGCGAGAGCGGTGCGGTGGGTCGCCGGGCCGAGGACGGGAACGGGAGGAGGGCGGGGACGGGGACGAGCACGACGAGGGGGGAGAGGAGGAGAGTCATCAGGAGGGGGGGGCGAGGGACAAGGAAAGAGAGGAGGAGGATAAGGAGGAGGAGGAGGAGGAGGAGGAGGAGGAGGCGAAGGAGGAGGAGGAGGAGGAGGAGGTGGAGGAGGAGGAGGAGGAGGAGGAGGTGGTGGAGGAGGAGGAGGCGGACGGCCAGGAGGGAGGAGGACGACGAGGACAGCCAGGACAGGGACGCGGAGGTCAAGGACAATCGGGAGGAGGAGGAGGAGGAGGAGGAGGTGGAGGAGGAGGGGGAGGAGGAGGAGGAGGAGGAGGAGGAGGAGGAGGAGGACGCCTTTGTTGGCTTTCCCTGGTTTTCCGCGGCACTCCAAGGCTCTGGGCGTCTCTCCGAGGCACTCGGCGGCTTCGGCGGTTCTCGGAGCTGCTCGGCGGGCTGCGACGGCTTGCGTAACCTTCTGGCGTTTCCGCTGGCCCTCGCACGCCTTCGGGGATTCGCCATGGCTTTCCGCGGTCGTCGGCGGGCGCTCTCAAGCCCTCGGCGGTCTTCCCTGGCTTTCCGAAGCCTTTGGGGATCCTCTGGGGGGTTGTCTTTTTGCCTCTCTCCTGCGGCTGCCTGCCTCCCCTCGTCTCTTGTTCTGCTCTGCGTTTCTGGAGGACGGGGAAGGCTTCTTCCCGAGTTGCCCCGTCACTCCAAGGAGGCAAGCGACGACGAGGACCAGGAGCAGGAACAGGAGGCGGACGAGGACGAGGAGGATGTTTGGGAGGAGGCGGGGCGGGACGAGGAGGAGGAGGACGAGGACGGAGAGGAGGCTGTTGATGAAGACGTGGGGGGCGAGGGGGACGGGCTGGCGGAGGAGGCGGAGGAGGCCGCATTTGATTACGCGCGGGTGAGCTAGGCAGCGGGTGACTTCGGCAACGAGTGGTTTCGGCGCAGTGCAAGCCGCTACGGGGTCAGATACGTCCCAGGGGAGGTTGGCGCCGGAGGAGGGCAGCACCGGGCTGGAGCGGTTGCCAGGAGAGGCCGTCTCCGGGTGGGGCTCTCACCAGGTGAGGGGAGCTCAGGGTGAGTTCAGCATTGGACGAGCCAAGACAGGTCATCTTCGCATCAGGCACCAGGTGAGTTTGGCCAGGTGTTTGTAGCATTGGGTGGGGTTCACGAATATGCGGCAGTCTCCAAAGCAGCGGCGTATTCTAGGCGTTTCTTGCTTATGCCAGCGCACCGTTGTTTTTTAAGCGTGGGTTCGGGGTTCTTGAAAACAGCTGCGTTTTGTAGCGAGTCCGTTGCCTTTGTTGGCGCCAGCGTCTCCTCTTCAGCGTGGTCCTGGTGTCGTTTAGGATCGTCTCAGAAGCAGCGGCATTCTGTATCGCGTCTCTTGCCGGTGCCAGTGCTCCGGTTCTTCTTCAGCCTGGGCTTGCGTGCTGTCCAAACAGCGGCGTTTGTGGCGTCTCGTCTGCCTGTGTCGGTGTGGGCGTTTCCTCTTCTGGGTTGCCGCGTGGTCGTGGAGTCGTCTTGGATCGAATCACAAGCAGCGGCATTTTGCAGCGCGTCTCATGCCTGTACGAATGCGGTCGTTCCTCTTCCAGCGTGGGTTTCGCTGTTCTGGATCACTGCTGCGTTTTGTAGCGACTTCTCTGCTTGCGTCCGTCTGGTCGTTTCTTCTTCATCGTGGTTATCCAGTCTTCCTCTTGGCTGCTTCCTGGACGTGGAATGGACTACCACCCCAGGCCTACCGACCACCCGGTGGCACAACGATGCACATCGTCTTCGTGGTCCTCCTCATCTCCTGGGCCTCTCCTCACCATTTGGTGGCACAAGTTGCTCATCGCCTACATGGTGTACATGTACCCCCCGGACGTCGACCTGGTCACGTCCTTCCGCACGCAGCACTTGAGGATGGTGATTTTGACGCGCCGTCGACGGCAACACCACTTCGCTCTCCCTCCGGGACTTCGCCTCCGGCTCCTGTCCATGGCGTACCTTTTCCTGTGCAAGCTCTTCAGCACCGCCTGCAGCCCGCGCCCTCCGGCCGCCTGAGGCCCCGCTCGCCCGCGCCCTGTCCCCCCAATTAGTGCTTTGCGCGGCCCGCCTAGCTCTAAACCGGACGAGGCTCGCTCTCGACCCGCAGACCGAAAAAGGTTACCCAGTCGTCTGGGGCCGTCTCAGAACCAGCGGCGTTTTGTAGCGCATATTTTCCCTGTGTCAGTGCGTTGTTTCTTGCTCAGCATGGGTTCGGGACGCTCTCAAAAACAGCAGCGTGTTGTAGCGCCTCCTCTTCCTCTGTCGGCGCGGGCGTATCTTCTTCAGCGTTGTTCTGGAGTCGTCCGGGCTCGTCTCCGCGAAAGCGGCACTTTGTAGCTCGTCTCTTCGTTGTGCGAGTTGCCGTTTTATTTTCAATCTTGGGTTGGCGCGTTCTCAAAAACAGCGGCGTGTTGTAGCGCCTCCTCTGCCTGTGTCGGTGTGAGCGCCGGGTGAGCTAGGCGCCGGGTGAGTTGCGTGCCTCTTGAGTCCGGCCCGGTCCGAACCTGGTGAGTTTGGCACGGTGAGGTAGGGACCGGTTGAGCAGTGGCCTTCCTGTCCTTCCCTCTTTCCCTCTAGGCCTCTCCTCCTTCCTCCCCCCGCTCGCTTCCTCTCAGCTGGCGTCGCCGTCCGCGTCGTCGTCGCCGCCGTCGCCGCCGCCGTTCACTGCCTTCGCCCCGCCTTGCGCGCACTTCCGTGGCCTGGGGGGTGATTCTGAGGATGCTGATGCTGATGTTCACTAGGCGGAGGAAAAGGAGGAGAAGGAGGAGGAGGAGGAGGAGGAGCAGCAGCAGCAGGAGGAGGAGGAGGAGGAGCAGCAGGAGCAGGAGGACGAGAAGGGCTTTAAGGAGGAGGGGGAGGAGGATCAGGAGGAGGATCAGGAGGAGGATTGGACACCCGTAAGGAGAATAGAGAGAGAGAGACAGAGAACCAAAAAAAAGAAGTCAGGGAAATTCTTCGGCCCCCGAGACGGGTTCCATACCCGTCCCAGTGGGCCCGACAAGGCACTCGCGGAAAAAACTCATCGTCGGAGACGGCCTCCGAGGAGGAGGAGGAGGAGGAGGAGGAGGAGGAGGGGGGGGAAGGAGAAGGAGGAGAAGGAGGAGGAGGAGGGCGACGACGACGACGACGACGAAAAGGAGGACGAGGATAAGGAGGACGGAGGAGGGCGACGACGATAGAAAAGAGAGGCAAGGTCGCTAACGGGTGACGCAGTCTCTGGGTGAGTTAGGCGCCGAGCGGGTTAGGTGGCGGGTGAGTGAGGCGCCGGGTGACTTGGGCATAGGATGCGTTGGGGGCCGGGTGCTTCATGGCCCGGGTGAGTTGGGCACCGGCTGGTTTGGGGGCAGCTGAGTAGTTGAGTGAGTTGCGGGGTGAGTTATTACATGTAGGGGCGCCCCTAAAAAATCTATTTCTAAAAATCTATGTTGGTCGCTCATTTCCGAGGGGGCGCGCGCTGGGTGGGTCAGCCGCCAGGCGAGTCGGGCTCCGGGCGAGTCGGGCGCCGGGTCAGTCAGGAGCTGGGTGAATGAGGCGCCGGGTGAGTCTGACTGCGAACGAGTTCAGCGCCGGATGAGTCAGGTCCCGGGTGAGCCCGTCGCCGGTTGCTCAGGCGCCGGGTGAGAGAGGCGCCAGGTGGGTCAGGCGTCGTGCGGGTCGGGCGCTGGGTGAGTCAGGCGCTGGTTGAGTTAGGCGCCCGGTGAGTTAGGCGCCCGGTGAGTCATGCGCCGGGTGAGTTCAGCGCCTGGTGAGTTAAGCGTCGGCTGAGTTAAGCCGGCTGGGTGAAGGATCGGGTGAGTCAGGCCGGGTGTGTTAAGGGTCGGGTGACGTAGACCTGGTGAGTTCAGGATCGAGAGAGTTAAGCGCGTTGAGTTAAGGATCGGGTGAGTTGGGCCAGGTGAGTTCAGGATGGGGTGAGTTAGGCGCGGGTGAGTTGAGTTTCGGATGAGTCGAGGTTCGGGTGAGTCACCGGGTGAGTAAGCATCGGGCGAATTAGCCCAGTTCTTCTCCATCCCCTATCCATTCCCCGTTCCCCTCCCGCTCCCCCCCGTCATCAGTCCCAGGCTTCCGCTCTGTCCTCAGCTTTTATTCCCTACCTAGGCTCTGCCTAGAAGGGTTCTTACTCTCTTGGCTTAAAGGGCCGGGCAGTGGGAACCGGCCTGGGCGGTTCCCCCAGTATCCGCCCCGCGGTTCCCCCAGTTACGTCCCCTTAGCTTAGCGTTGTTTATCTCATCTTAGCTTAGCTTATTTCATCTTAGCTTAGCTTAGCTTAGCTTCATCTTAACTCAGGCTTATCTTAGCTTAGCTTACCTTCATCTTAGCTTCGCTGAGTTTTAGCATAGCAAAGCATAGCATAGCATAGCGTAGCATAGCATAGCGCAGCATAGCATGGCATAGGCATAGCATAGCATAGCAATTAATGCTGCTTTACTAGGGGCTCCAACTTCTATGTAGGGTCGCACTGGGGTAATCTTCCTCCCACGGCCCCTTTCCCATCCGCCCCGCCGGCCTTCCCCCGAGAGGCCGAGCCGGCGCTCGAACAGCGTGGACCACGCGCCGTGAGCGAAGGGCAGAAGGAGAGAAAGGATGGTGAGCGGAGGAGAGAAAGGATGGTGAATGGGGGGGAGGAGGAGGAGGAGGAGGAGGAGGAGGAGGATGAGGAGGAAGAGGAAACGAATGAACATTAGAAGGATGAGAAAGCCAGTCAATAGCAAGATAACGGTGAGTAGGAAGCAGGAGAAGGAAGTTGAGAGAGTGGAGGCCGAGGAGGATGAGAAGGGGCACAGGGGGGTATGGAAGGATGAAGAAGAAGAAGAAGCGTGAGAAGATCGAGGAAGGCGACATAATGAGGGGGATGAGGAGGAGAAGGAGGAAGACTGTCGGCCCAGCACCCCTCAATGCCCCTACCCATGACCTCCCTTTTCTCGATACTCGCCTCGGCTTTCTTACCTATGTGTGATATCCTCCTCATATTTCTCTTCGGCGGTGACTCGGGGAGGGTGGAGAAGGATGGCATGGAGGACGAATAGGGCTTCAGTCGTTCGCCTCTGTCCCTGAATATGTTTCTCTCCATTCCCCTGCTCTCTCATCCTCCCTCCACGTCAACACTTCCCTGACCCCCCCGCCTCTATCTCTCTCACACTCACTGTTTCCCCTCCCCTGTTCCTTCTCCCTCCCCCATCCCTCCCCTCCCGCACCTCCCTATGCATCCCCCTTCTGTCTCAACTCGACCCCCACTTCCCAGACCCTCCCTCCCCGCTCACTCCTCCCTCTCACTCCGACTCCCTGTCCCTACCTTTCCGCATTCCCCCCCCCCTCCAGCTACGGGGTGATGGAGGAGGAGGAGAAGGAGGAGGAGGAGGAGGAGGAGAAGGAGGAGGAGGAGGAGAGGGAGGATGAGAGGGAGGAGGAGAAGGAGGAGGAGGAGGCGGAGCAGAAGGTGGAGGCGGTGGAGGAGGAGGAGGAGGAGGAGGAGGAGGAGGAGGGGGAGGAGAAGAAGGAGGAGGAGGAGGAGGAGGAGGTGGAGGAGGAGGAGGAGGGGAGGAGAAGGAGGAGGAGGAGGAGGAGAAGGAGGAGGAGGAGGAGGTGGAGTTGGAGGAGGGGGAGGAGGAGGTGGAGGAGGAGGAGGAGGAGGGGAAGGTGTAGGAGGAGGAGAGGAGGAGGAGGGAGGAGGAAGAGGAGGAGGAGGAGGAGGGGGAGGAGAAGGAGGAGGAGGAGGAGGTGGAGGAGGAGGAGGAGGAGGAGGGGAGGAGAAGGAGGAGGAGGAGGAGGAGGAGTTGGAGGAGGGGGAGGAGGAGGTGGAGGAGGAGGAGGAGGAGGAGGAGGAGGAGGACCCCGCCCCACCCTACCCGCTTCTCGCACTCCGCGCTCTGCGTGCCCGCGGCGGACGGGGCAGCGGAAGCGGAGGCCGTGCGCCCGCTGGCGCGCAGCGGGAGGCCGCAATATAATATGCACGGGGAGCCCCAGACGGCCGCATCCGCAGAGGTCATGGGCGTCGTTTCCGGGACGGCTCTGCTCTTTCCCCCCCTTGCCTAAGGCAGGAGGAGAGGGAGGGGGGGACAGGGGGAGGGAGGGAGAGGAGGATGGGGAGGAGGAGCAGGAGAAGGAGGAGGAGAAGGAGGAGGAGGAGGTGGCGGAGGAGGAGGAGGAGGAGGAGGTGGAGGAGGAGGAGGAGGAGGAGGGGGAGGAGGAGGAGGCGGGAGGAGGAGGAGGAGGCGGAGGAGGATGAGGACGGAGTAGGAGGAGGAGGAGGAGGAGGAGAAGTTCGGTTACCCCGTCCACCATCCTAGTAACTCCGCCTGCCTGAGGAGAAGAAAGAGGTGGAGGAGTGGGGATGAGGATGAGTACGAGGAGCAGAAGCATGAGAGCATGATGAATCCAACGAGCAGTAATAATCTTCGCTAGCGTGGACCCCAACAAAGTAAGACATTGCACTGTGGCTGTGCAAGCTACGTGGTGCGAGCTCTTTTGTGTAAGCTATGTGGTGCAGTATACGTGGTGCCAGCTAGAGGCGGCCACCGGCGGCAAAGTGGCGGCACCTCACAGGACCCACCCAGCGCACGAGGCGGCCACGAGGCGGCCATGGGCGGCAACGTGGCGAAGCCTCGCCTCAACCATCCAGCGCACGAGGGGGCAACAAGGCGGCCACGGGCGGCAACGTGGAAGGTCCTCGGCGGATCCATTCGATTCCTTCTGCCCCTTGTGACATGAGAGCCCCGTGAGTGTAAGCACCGTGTGGGGAATACGAGGAAGGGAAGTGGAGCAGGAGGGGGAAGAGGAGTTGGAGATGGTATCCCTTCTTCAGCTCCTCCTCCACGTGGACGGCCCTCAATCGCTGTGATTCGACTCGGGAGACCTGGCCACATCCGGCACCCCCTTGCCATGTTGCCTCGCGCGGATGAGCGTGGCATGTCCCCTTCTGGGGCTCCCAGGTCCAGAACCTTTTACCATGGCGGCCTGGGCAAAGACCCCTGGGCCCGTCGGCAGCTGGGCTTTCCTGGTTGCACAGGAGGCGCTCTCTCTCTTTCTCTCTATCTCTCTCTCTCTCTCTCACTTTTCTCTCTCGCTCTTTCTCTCTCTCTCTCTCTCTCTCTCTCTCTCTCTCTCTCTCTCGCTCTCTCTCTCTCTCTCTCTCGCTCTCTCGCTCTCGCTCTCTCTCTCCCTCTCTCGCTTTCCGCCCGCATGCGAGACTTGTAGGGCCCAGGTGCCTGGGGCGAAGCGCCCGTGCTGTCCTGTAATTACGTGTAGATGCAACTACGCATCCGTATGCACATGTACACACATATATACATATATGTCTGTATACAGGTCCCCTGTATGCGTATACCCGTCTTCCCCCCTTTGGCCAGGACACGCCGCCCCAACACGTCCGTAGCCTGTTTGGGCTTTAGGATCCAAGCATTTATTCGGGGTCACGGCCACGTGCTGTCTCGGTGGCCGCGAGGCCTGCTGCGAGGGCCGCCATCCGCCCTCCTCGCGCTCCTGGCGGCAGCGCAGGGAGGCGAGGGCCGCTGGCCTGGCTCCTGGCAGGCGTGGGGCTGGATGGCCCAGGCGGCTGTCGAGGACCTCGACGGTGGTGACGAGGACCTCTGGGAGGCGCCGGAGGCCGACGTGCCCGCGCCCGTGGAGGACGGGCCCGTGCCGATCGTCCCGCGGGCGGTAGCCCAGGGCAAATGCTACTGCACCACGGGCTACACGGCGGGCGGCCTCGAGCAGTGCCGGTTCGCGTGGCGGGCGCTGCGTGTCACCAGCGCGGAGCCGCCGCAGCGCTTCGTGAGGGCCGAGTTCCTCTTCAGCGACGACGGCTACTGGGACTGGTGGGCCAGCCACCCTGGGCAGCCGAGCGCGGTGACGGAGCGCCCGCTCATCCACGTGTGCTCGGAGAACCCGTGCTCCGTCGTGGAGGGGCCGGGGACGTGCACCGAGCTGATCCACGTGGCGGACGGGGCCGAGCTCGGCCTCACGGACCTGCGGGCGCTGTTCGCCGAGTGCCAGGAGGTGTACCCAGAGGCGGCTTGGCCAGCAGCACGCCTCGGGGCGCTGGTCGCCGCCGCCGCCCCCGCGAGGCCCGCTGCGGTGGCCAAAGCGGCGGGGCGCCCACCAGCCGCAGCAGGTCCTCTCAGGGCCCCGCCTGGCGCTGCCCCCTTCAACGACTTCCTGAGCGTAGGAGGCTCGTCGCGCGGCCCCGGCTCGGAGCTGGCCGCAGACGAGGAGGCGGCTGCCGCGGGCGGCCTGGGAGGCAAGCTCGCAGGGGCTCGTGCGCGCTTCGAGGAGGGGAAGCGGGCTGCTGGAGACGTCAACCTGGACGGCTTCCCCCTCGGCGCGGAGGCGGCTGGCGAGGGGCCCGCGAAGAGGCGGTCGCTCGGGGACCTGCTGGTCGAGCGCGCCGCGAAGCTCAAGAGGGCCGCCTCCGACGCGGCTCCCCGAGGGTCGAGGGACCCTGCGCCCGAGCGGGCGCCGCCAGGAGCTGGCCTGAACGGCGGCATGCGGGAGCTCGCGCAGGCGCTCGTGATGGCCATCCGCGAGGGCAAGGAGGCTCCCCCTGGCGACATCGGCGGGGACGGCCTCGGCTCCTCGGGCCCCGCGGCGGTGCCGCGCGACCTGGCCACGAAGAGGGCCTTCTGTCGTCGGATGGCCGCCGCCGCCCCGGGCCGCCTCACGGAGCTGAGCCTGCAGCAGATGGCGGACTTCCTGGGCTCGCAGGAGGGGGGGGCGGCCGTCGACGCGACGGGCCCGATCGCCCTTCGGTACCTCCTCACGATCTACCTGTCGCAGCACCCGGTGAAGGAGATCGGCGTGCAGACGCACCGCGAGCTCCGCGCCCTCGCGGAGGCGGTGGACCTGCTGATGCAGGGGAAGTCGGCCCACGCCTGCGACCTGATCGTCCAGCGCCTGAAGGCGCTGCAGGTAGCAACGACGGACGGCTCGTGGGCGGCGGCGAAGTGGTTGGAGCTGATCCCGCCGCGCGACGAGCCCACGGCCATCCGCAGCGAGGAGGAGGAGCTCATCCGCAGCATCCAGCTCGGCGAGATGAAGCTGGACGAGCTCTCCGCGCGGCTGGCCTCCGCCAAGACGCCGGGATAGGGCGGGGGCCCGACGGGGGCGCGCCCGCCGCTGGCGCCTCCGTCTGTTGGCCAGGCAGGGGGGGCACCCCCTGCGACAGCGCAGGCAAAGGGACCTGGGGGACAGGCCCCCCGCCAGCCGCCGGCTCGGCCGCCCCGCAGGAAGGCTTCCGCGGCGGCTCCGCCAGCGCCCCTGGCGGCGGGCGCAGGCGGGCCTCCTCCGCGGGCCGCGGGGTCGGCAGCCCCACCGCCGTGGAAGATGTCCTTCGCGGAGATGCGGAAGAAGTTCCCGAAGCAGCCGGGGGAGACGAACACCCAGCACCGCCTGCGAGCCTTCAAAGCCCGTGCGGCGGCGCGCCCCCGTCGGACCTGAGCGGCGGCAGCCTGCCGCCTGCCCCGCGCTATGGTGGAGCCTCCTCAGGGAGGGTGGCCGATGCCTCCATCAAAGGCGCGAGCCCTGCGAGGGGCGCTGGTGGGGGAGTCCGCGGCGTGGGCCAAACTCGGTTTACCGAGGGCGGAGATCGTGCCACCCTATGCGGGGGGGGTGAGGGCGTCGCGGAGCCCCCGCTGGCCGCCGCGCTGCAGTGCTGGTCCGACGAGCTCTCCTTCGGCTTCGGCAAGAGCATCGTCGCGGTCGACCTGGCGGCGCGGCTGGTGGCAGCAGTACGACGCCACCCGGGCAGCCTTGGCAACTTCGCTCGGTCGTTCAGCATGCGTGCGGACACATTTTGTGGGAGCGGAGGGTCGTCGAACAGGAGGGTTCGGGACGCCCTGCCGCTTCCCCTTCCGTCGACCGAGGAGGTGGACCGCTGGCTGGCCCATAGCGCCCTGCCCAAGGCACGCAGGTGCCGCCGCCGCGCCGTGGCGCGGGAGGTCAGCGAGCAGGCGTGGCTGTACCTCAGCGTGGTGGCGCTCAACTACACGTTCTGCGGCCGCGCGCAGGAAGGCTGGCGCCACAGGCCGACCCTGTCGAAGGCGCAGACGCAGGTCTACGTGCACTTGAAGAGCCGAGCGGCGGCCCTGGCGGAGGACCCGCTGGCCATGGTCGTGGTCCCTGCGATCGACGAGCTGGCGGGCGGCTGCGGGTCAGCGTACGAGGGGGGGTCGGGCGTGAAGGCCCTCCCCTGCCGGCTCTGCGAGCTGGCCCCTGGCCTGCCCGCGCGGGAGTGCGCTGCCACGCTCGACGCGATCGACTTCGCGGACGACGAGGTCGGCGCCTGGCTGCGCCGCCCCGAGCTGGCGCTCCTCGACCAGTCCGACTGGCCCGACCCGCTGCCGCGGGCCCGCGTGAACGTGGAGACGGAGGCGGACTGGGAGGAGCTGGCGCTGCACCTCGTGTCGCTCGGCATCTTCACCACGCTCGCGGAGAGCGAGCTGGTCCGCGCGAGGGGCGAGCCCGCGCTGAACGGCCTGTTCGCGGTGGAGAAGAAGGGCACTCCAGCGCCTGGCGCCACGCGGGTCACCAGGCTCATCCTCAACATGGTGCCGGGCAACTCGCTCCTGAAGGCCCACGTTGGCGAGGCGGCGCTGCTTGCGGCCTCGACGTCGTGGACGTCGGTCGTGATCCCCGAGGGGAAGCTGCTGCTGTGGTCGGGCGACGACCAGAAGGGGGCCTTCTTCGTGTGGCGGGCCCCGCCCGCGTGGCACCCCTACGTGGCCGTGGGGCGGCCGCTCGCGGGCAAGCTGTTTGGCCGCTCGGAGCCCGTCGTCTACGTGACCTCGGCGGTCATCGCCATGGGCTGGTCGCTCGCGGTGCCCGTCTTCCAGCACATCCACCGACGGCTGTGCCGCCTGGCGCCGCCCCTCGGGGCGGGGCTTCCCCCAGACGGGGAGTGGCGCAAGGATTGCGCGCGGCCCCTGGTCGAGGCAGGCAGCGGCCAGGACGCTGGCTGGTGGCAGGTCTACATCGACGACTTCGATGCGCCGGAGATCGTCGGGGAGGTTCTGGCCCGCAAGCTCGTGGGGACCCCGAGCGACCTCCAGCTGCGGGTCCGCGCCAGCTACGAGAGGGCGAGCGTCTCCTTCTCGGCCGAGAAGGCGCACTGCAGGCAGCTGAGGGTGGAGCGCATGGGCGCGGACGTCGACGGCGTCAGCGGGCGCCTCGCGGTCCCCGCCTCCAAGGCGCTGGCCACTGCGGGCCTCTGCTTGGCCGCGGTGCAGCGGCGCCTGGTCCCGTGGCGCGTTGCCATGGCGGTCCTCGGCAAGCTCGTGAGGGCCTTCGAGTTCAGGCGGCCGCTCTTCGGGGTCCTGAACTCCGTCTGGACGCTGGCTGCGTCCTCAGCGCAGGGGGCTTTCCTGGGCGCGGAGATGGTGGAGGAGCTCCTCATGGGCGTGATGGTCCTGCCGCTGGCCGCCTCCTCGCTGCGGGCGCGCATCGACGGCATGGTCACGTCCTCGGACGCGTCGGGGATGGGCGGCGGCGTGTGCACGTCGGCCGGCCTGCGCGAGGACGTCGCCGCCGCCTTGCAGGTGCCGAGGACGGTCCCCGACCAGCTGGGGATAGGGGCCAGGCTCCTCAACATGCCCGAGGACCCCGCCCGACCGTGGGCGGCAGCCAACCCACGCGTCCCCGCCAGGGCAGTCCGCAGGGCGTTGTCGGTGCTGCTCATCGGCCTGTTCGACGGCATCGGAGGCCTCGCCGTCGCCTTCTCGAGGCTGCCCGTCCGCATCGCGGCCTACGTCGCGGCCGAGACGGACGCCAAGGCGAGGCGCGTTGTCAGGCTCCGCTGGCCAGGTGTCATCGACTGGGGCGACGTCACCCGCGTGGGCAGCGAGACGGTGCGGGACCTGTTCGAGGCGTTCGGCAGCCTCGTCGACCTGGTGGCGGTCGCTGCGGGCAGCCCCTGCCAGGACCTGTCACGCCTCAACGTCGGCGGGCGCGGCCTCAGCGGCAGGAAGTCCTCGCTGTTCCACGAGGTGCCGCGCATCCTGGCTCTCCTCGCCGCCGTCT